CTCTGTTTTGAAACGGTATTTGTATCGCTTTGGCTAGAAACCTCTGATTTCATTTTTGTCTTCTAACAAAGAAGTATGAAACTTGCAAAACTGTTTAAAAGGGCAGCAGCTCTCTGCCCACATTCCTTCAGTCTCCTAACCACTTCCAGGTTTTGAGTGGCAGGATTCTGCATCTCCATAGGCTATCATCTGCTTTTATATATTACCTGTCTTTTCCTGACATTACTAGGAAAAAAAAAACTTGCATTAAATAGAATGCATAAATATGACTCTAGCAAGCACATTATGTAGAATAATGTTGAAGTGAATCTAATTAATATGTAACTATATATTAAGTGCTTTCCAGACCAAAGATACTCTCTGCTTGATTTTAATCCAACCAGAGATTGAATTAAAATACCAAAATATTAAGGCATGCATTTTGCAATTTCATAATAAGTTCCTCTCATGAAAAAGAAGTTATCATTCAAAGCATGCTGCATTACTTTCCTGCCTAAAGTTGTTTAATCATTCTAGTTTTTGGCATAAACTTTAAGTGCTTCAAGCTGGTGTGTTAGAATTTTCTTTCCTTTTAAAATCTTCTGTTCTAGAGAAATAGATACATACACATGTATATACAAGTATGGAAAATAGTTACTATGAAGTATACTATAATTATGGAGACTAACAAGCCTCTAGAACTTCAGGCAGGAAGGTGCAGCCCCTAGAGATGCAGTAATATAGTTCCAGTCTGAACCAAAGGCCTGAGAACAAGACCAGTGGCGTGGTTCTGTAATAAATACTTGTAGGCATAAGAAGTAGCAAGAACCAATACTTCAATTTTAATTCAAAGGCAGAGATGTAACAATGTCTAAGCATGAGAGCAGCTAAGCCAGAAATAGGGGAGAGGGACTGTGGAAGGGTGCTCTTCACTTACAGCTGAAGCTCAGTCTTCCTGTTCTATGGGAACCTCCCTTGGATGGTTGATGCTCACCCCCATAAGGGAGCTGCTTTACTCAGTCTTCCTATTCAAGTGATAATCCGAGACAAACCTCACAAGACACACACAGAATGATACTGGGGCACCTTGTGACCTAGTCACATTGACTTCCAAAATTAACCATTACACCTGGCATGGGAGGAATTTTAGCCAGAAAGGACCACTTAAGCCTCAGATTATATAACTCCTCCCTTCAGCCATCCAAAGCTAGTTTTATTCCCTTATAGGTATTTTGACTGTTCAAGTCCATGCATTTGCTAGGTGTGTCCCTCTCTGCTAGAGTGTGATAACCTCTGTCCTGAACAAGAATTCAGGTAGCACTGCTTTATTTGAAGGGCAATCCCAGGTTATACCAACAGAGGAAGAATGGAAGAGAAGCAGCAGTTTAAATTATAAATCACTTACCAGTGTACCTCCAAGTCTCAAATTCAAAAGGGAGAGTGAACTTATGGATCTAGTATAGAATAAGCTTGGGATGTTTGTGAATGAGTTTGACAAACAAGGGAGAAGCCAGTCATATATGGAAGGCTGATCCCTGAAGGGTATTAATCCCCAAGAATTTCTTGAGTGGGCTCTAGCAGCCATAGGAAGTGCCAAGGCAAAGAAGTCGGGAGCAACAACAGGTAGGCATGCATTGACACGTCAGTGAACAAGAGTGTAGAGCCAGGAGACTTGTCATTTCTGGGAATCTGTTGTTGCCTTTCTGTTTCTCCATCTAACTTCAGCTCACCCATTAGATGCAACCTCACCTCCACTGGAAAGCTTCTACGGACTTTGTCTCTGATTTAACAACCTCTTGAGTGCTTGTGATAGAACCTCTGCTTAGCCCTAGCAGAGAGTCCATCACTTCCTGTCTGGTCTACAGTCTTCTCTTTATTTCTGACTTTGTGTGTGATTTCTTTGAGGAAAGGAGTTGTTAACCTCAATCCAAGGACATCAATGTAGCAAATGTAGAATAACAATATCACAGTAGCAAATAACTGTTTTTTTAAAAAATTTGCTTCTACTAAATTTTGTTGTATTTCATACAGAATATCTCAAACAAGCTGAATCATCTTTATAGCTCTGACTCTACCAGCACCCTTCCATAGCCCTCTCCCCTGCCCAGAACCCATATACTCTGTCCTGGGTGTTATGGCCCACTGTGTCAAGTCAGTGTTCCCAGACATTCCACAGTGCAAGTCCATCCACTTGCAGTTTAGTCAGATCCCCCTCATCTATCTATCCAAACACCTATCGTTTTCTTTCTTTTTCTAAAATGGAGCATAGGGTGGGGGTTTATTTACAGAGGAGTGGGTGACCCCTATTTACAGCTGCACTGGAAAGTCCACACTCAAATATAGATCCTGTGACTTCCCAACAGCCTCAGAAAATGGTGAGAGAGGGGCCTCCTGGCATTCTCAGCTTATATATCCTTAGCCCCTCCCCAAATGCAGCTAAGGTCAACTGATTAGGTGGGAGGGGTAACTGACTCCCCCACCTTGACTCCTTGATAAGCATGGGAAGGAGGTATGACTATAGCTTGCCAGCATAGTGGTCAGAGAACACTTCCAGTTAACACTCCACCTCTTCCTCTGGCTCTTATATTCTTTCTGCCAATCTCTTCAGCAAAAGTCCCTGAGCCTTGGAGGGGTGGTAGGTGTGAGATAATCTTCCTCCTATTGTGGCAAGGCACTGAATTTTCGGGTCTCTACATCGTCAGTTTTCTATGGATTGTTGGCCCATTTCAGTGAGATTCCCTCTACTATAATAATACAAATAGCAAGAAGCAAGAACAACTAAACTGTGGCTACTATAATTTCACCTTTGGATGTAAACATAAATGCTTGGACAGTACTTTAGCGGGTGCATCACATCCATCTAACAAAATTATTGTCGTGGCTTCCCACTGGGGTCTATATTCTCCCTGCCACAGGGGGTTGGTCTGATCTACGGTACCAGATGTGTGTTCCACCCCAAGAAGCAGGCATTTTATCCAATCAAAAATACACTAGGTGATCCACTATTGCACCAACAGGAACATCTTGTTTGGTATGTTGATGGTGAAACATGTGGGGTCAATTGTTGAGCGGAATTATAGGGGGTGATTCTCCCCCAGTCATCTGCATATCACCTTTTGGCACCATGAAATTCACACATCCAATGGCAGGGAATTTCCCTGCCATCTTGCTTCCTCTTAGTATGTGAGCTCTTCCACATGAACTGCTCTTGCATTTGTTTGTTCTGAGATGCTATCTGCCTTGTGATGACAAGCAGAAGGTTCTCAACAGAGACTAACAGATGGAGCCTCTTGATCTTGTACTTTCATGCTCTAAAACTGTGAACTAAATAAACCTCTTTTATTTGTAAAGTATCCACTTCAAGTATTTTGTTATAGCAACATAAAATGGACTAAAACAATACCTTGAAGCAACAGAAAATAGTTGAGTGTTGCCATCTGTCTAGGTGATAACACAAGTGTCACAGAAGTAAGAAAACTGGAAAAAGCAGTTGGAACCAGATATTGTTGACCTTAAATATGAGCAACAAAAGTCTAGGCTTTGCTCTTTGCACAGAGGGCAGTTACTGTGAGGCTATAAACCAGAGCAGAACTTTATTAAGTCTGATTTGGCAGCCACATGTAACAGGAAATTGAGTCAGAGGAGGGAAAAAGAAAGTCACAGTTAGGAAGCCTCCAAAGGCTTCCTGGGAAAAGGGTTAGAATTAGATTACAATGAAGTGTAACAAACAGGCAGGCAAGGCAAGGTTGGACGCTGACTAGTATTAATATCTTGGCTGCTGTAACAAAATACCATAAATAGGAAGGTTTATAAAACAGAAATGTATTTCTCATAGGCTAGAAATACAAGATCACAATTTCATCAGATTTAGTGTCTCCTAGGGTTTAGAGGCTTAGAGAGCTTTCTTCTCCACATGTGCTTACATGGAACAATTGGAGAGGGTTTCTCCTGGACCTCTTGTTTTGTTTTTTGTTTTATTTTACAGACAGGATCTCCCTGTAGCCCTAACTTGCCTGGAACTCACTATGTAGACCAGGCTGGCCTCAGGCTCACAGAGATCTACCTGCCTCTGCCTGTGTGCCCCGTGCAGCATTAAAGGCATGTGACACCACACCAAACCTAAACCTCTTTGTGGGACCTCATATGTCCCATTCATCAGGGTTATAGCTTTGTGATACAATCATCTTCCAAAGACCTCACTTCCTACTACCATCACCTCGGGGTGAGGACAACATAAAGACAGTGCGAAGGGCAAGGACATTCAGAGCACAGTACTGGGTGTGAGGAGCACTCAGGGAGAGAGATGGCATGCTGTGAGTTCAAGAGAGCCAATAGAGCCAGCCTTTGTGGTATGCAGCTATAACCCAGCACCCAGGAGGGTAAAGCAGGAAGATTCAAAGGCCTGGGCTACATATCAAGTCTCTGTCTTAATACATACACACACACACACTCATGAGAAAATCTAGCAACCCCACCATTGTAGTACAGAAAAAGCCCACATCCTGGTTCTCTTAGAAGGGTTAATCTGGGAAATTAAGGAAATTAATTAAAAATGGAACAACTAGTAAAAGCCCTTGAAGGTAGGTGATTAAAGTTTGCATTGCAGGCAGAGCAAAGCAGCACTCTTCCTGACAGCACAGGGACCAGATGATGTATACACTATTCCAACACTTAAGATGGGCAGGCATGCTTTCAACAAGTGTGGGGTATGTGACATTAAATTTTGCAGGTTAGAATTTTGAAGAATTAAAATAACTGATGCGATCATGTATAATTTTCATAAGTAAAACAAATTATGGCACATATAACTTGCTTTAAGTGTATAGTATCTCCTTAAAGGGGATGTGAACCCTTGGTGTTGAGTTTGCTGTGCATGGGTGTGCTTTCTTCCTAGCTCAGCACGATAATACAAGACAAAAGAAATGATTGTTTTAATATTGCCTTTTCCTTTTATTATGAGTTGAATTGGAAAATTCTGGTGTTTCCAGCTTTTATATGTATTTATCTTTTTCCATTTCCAGTAGATGATAATAATGAAGAAGCAGATGTTGACATGAAAGAAGATGCAGGTATTAAACTTATAATTTTACTATCTGGGGTAAAGTAGGGAACATATTTCATTTATGTATGATGCATAATTTCTAAAGAAAGACAATATTAGTAAAATAGAAATGTGGATTCAACATCATAAAAGAAGAAATAGCTATAGTAACTCTAAGGCAAATACAGTTACTATATTTAAGCATTATCTTGAACTTTGAACTTCCTCACAGCTTAAAATAAAAATCCAGTATTATGTTTTAGTTAACAGCATTGTACAATAAATCATACCCACAACTTGGCATTCAAAATAACTATTTATTATACTGATAATTTGTGTCTAAGAAATTTAGACTTCATAAAAGAGGAACTGATCATTGTATTATATGATATCTGGGCTTCAAACAGCTATGGGCTGGAATCATCTGGAAAGTTCTTCACTTACTTGACTGGCTGATGACAGGGTCCCAGCAATGGGCTGCAGCCTTATTTGGGGGCGATTTCTGAACATGTACACATCTTAAGTGCTCTAGGCTTCCTCCCTTGGTGACCAGCTAACTTCCTCTTGAAGAGTCAGTGAGCCAGGGAGGGAGAAGCTCCACCCTTTTACAATCCAGACTCAGAAGTCCTATAGCATCACTTCCTCTCTTCCAGTCTTAGGAACGATCATGAGTCTACCTGAAACCAGAGGAAACCTGTAGAACTTTAAGACCTCAACCGCGTCTGTGACCATCTTTGATGAATAGGCTCTTCACATTATGCATTTTGTTTCCATTTTTAAGGTGTATGCCAACCCCACAAGAAAGACCAGCCAGAAAAAGAAGCTTCACTATGTCCTTAAATAGTAATTCATGAATCAATAGACCTGAATTCAATTCTAGCTATACCATTTATTGACTTTGAGCAAGTATCTTTCCACAAAATTCATTGTATACATCTGGGGCAATAATCCCACCATATTGTTTCATTTTGAAGGTTAAACAAGATAATGTATCTTTTTAAAAAACTATTTTATTTATTATTTTATGTGTATGAGTGTATTGCCTGCATGTATGTGAGTGCACACGTGTCATGCAAAGCTGTGGAGGTCAGAAGAGGGTGTCAGGTTCCCCTGGAACTGGAGTTAAGGACAGTTCATACGCTCCATGTGGGTTCTAGGAATCGAACTCAGGTCCTCTGCAAGAGCAGTCAGTGCTCTTAACCTCTGAGCCATCTCTCTAGCCCCCGATAATGCATATTAATTGCTTCTCACAGTCCTTGGCCCACTGTCACAATCTAATATGTTGTTGCTTTTTGTTTTCTTTTTCTCATACATGAGGCTTAAAAGTCCCATGTTCTTGCCATGAAATGGGGCCAGACTTCAAACTTTAAAACAAAATTTAAAACTTCAGAGGTTTTAACTTTGCTTCTCCTTCAATTTGATGCCAGAGCATCTGATGAATTACTGACAATCTCGGTCTCCGTAGCTCCAGTATTAAGGAGCTTCAATTTGAATGGAAAGGGTCTCACTAAGTGAGGGTCAGTTGAAATGTCATCTGCACTAGTTTAATTTCTGTCCCTATCATGGAGATCCATTATTTTCGTAAAGAAATAGCTTCTTCTTATTCTCTTCATAAAAGTTCACTGGAGCAATGACCGTGGCTTCTCTCCTTTCTTCTACTGTCCAGACATGTCTGATTTATAAGGTTCCCTTGGTCTCTGAAAAGGCAATAGACTCAGCTGATGTGAGAAGTGGCTGGAGGATCTGAAAGTTAGAAGCAGAAATGCAGGATGGAGGAGAGACTGGAGCAGCAGCCATTGCCCCTGCCCATGTCTCCTCGGCATTCATTCCTGTTTTCTGTTAGCTTTCTAAAGAAAGTGCCTATGGCTCTCAGATGAGGGCTTTTCTCTGCCCATAAGAAAACAAACAAACAAAAATCTCTGTACAGGGGAGTTGGTTCCTCTGGGGGCAACCCCTCAATCAATGATAGACAAGAATTAGTTCGTCAATACTCCTATGGGTATACAAGGGAATAGCTCAGTGGTAGAGTGCTGGTGTAAGGAGCTTGGTTTAATCCCTGGTTTTACACACACACACACACACACACACACACACCTCTAAAACATATCTGAGACAAGTTCCAGTTTATATGAACAGTCCAATGGACATCTGTGAGCTTCATGTAGTTTATATTCTCTAGTAGCTGAGTTAAAAAACAAAAACATAAATAAATAGGTGAAATTGATTCTAATACCATTTTATATAACACAGTTTCCAAGAATATTATTAGTCCAACCTATAGTCAGATATTGTGTCTAGGTTTTAATGCTAAGCCTTTAACAGTGTGTGTTTTCTATCTACCTCTTCAGATTAGTCACATTTCAAGTTCTCTTTGGTAATGTTTGTGTGACTGCATTATTGGACATCACCATGCCATCACCAAGAAGTCTTTAGCAGAGTTGAGTTCAGAACGCTCATAGTGGGACTTGTTCATTGTTGCACCCTGCCATGCCAAATTTTCCTCTGAGAGACCTACACACTCTCTGGGATGCCAGAGAGCACGGATCTAACTAAACCATCACAATGTTCCTCTTAAGTTACAGTTTGGGGAATAAGAATATTTATTTGGGCTTACCAACATAGTTTAGAGGGTCTCTTACAAACACACGAACTCTCATGGGCTCTTTCTCTCCCATATTTGATATCCAAGCCATCAGTGCCCATCCTGCCCCCATGGTATGCAAGCTCCGTTGCCCCCTCTGAGTCTCTGGGGGTTCAGTTCTAGTTTCCTCAGAGGACACGCCTACCCAACACACCTGTATTGTCTGTCTTCCGTCTCTCGGTTTGCTTTCCTATTCCCTTTCTGCTTCTTCCTGGGATAAACTCTCAGAAAAACTACTTATAGTCAAATCACTGTCCTGTGTCTGGACCTGAAAGAATGCTTCCTGAGACAAGGAATGTTTGCTTTTGTTGGAAAACATAAAGCCCAAGGTAAAATTTGTATAATTCCAAACCCTATGCCTATGTAGATGTCTTGTTAAAAATAATCTATCCTAGATTAACTTGCATGAATTTCATGTTAAACTTAGTTATCTTTATGCATCCTCCACATGAGGTGTCCTTGGAGTATCCTTCAGCCATGGGGTCTTGTCCTTTAGCCAGCCTTATCTTGGCTTGGGTTTAGTGCCACAGATACACATTTCTAGGAAAAGGGAGTTGACTTCTCATTGACAGCTAGCTAGCTGCTCAGACCATTGAGTCATTTTAAGAAAATCATTAATTTGAATGCAGACCCTACAAGCTGGAGTCGGCAGTTGAGTCTGGGATATTATCATTAGTTCTGATTTTAATCCCACCAGAATTCCTGGGAGTTCTGCCTCCAAAAGCTGGACAAGTCACACTCAATGGCCCACGAATGTCAAGACAGTGGGCGTGGGGAACAACTTTCCATTTCCTAATGCATGAGTGCCAAAACCATGGGGGATTTGGGTGCCGGATGGTCCATGGTATGCCAGCTGGCCCTGCCAGATGCCAATGAGCAGGCGGGCTTCACTCTGATCTAACACTGGAGCATGTCGTTCTCAAAGATGTTCCCAACCAGACAGCCTCCCAAGACCATTAACCACTGCCTCCCCTCTACCCTGCATCATCTCTTTTCTCGTAAGTAGGAAAGCTGGAGAGATGGCTAAGAATTAGAGAGATGGTTAAGTAGTGAAAGACTCCTTGTGTGACTCAACCTTCTAACAGTCATTCTATTCAAGAGCGACTTGAATAACTAAAACCATGAAGTGCTGGTCAGTTGGCTCCATGGGCAGTTAGAGTGCTGATGTGAAGAGTCGGCAGATTCCTGTGGTGTGAACATACCTACCATGCTCTGCTTCAGTCTATGAAGATGGGAGGTCAGGAGAGGGGCCACAGTTTGTTGGTATGAGTTGACTCTCAGTACGCTAGACTTCAATTGGGCATGCACTCGGGAGGTCACTTGATGTGCATGATCTCATTTCATACAACTCTTCAGGGCAGGGACTTTCATTATCAGTGTTTCAAAGGGATTAGCTCTTACTTAAATAGCAGAGCCGGAATTTGAATCCAAGCTTTTCTGATCCCAGGGTACGTGTTCTTTAAATGTTTTGCTCATATCTTCAGACCCTTATAGTGAAGAGGGGCAGAAGTGTCTCAGATAAGGTCATTTTCATGGCTAACTTCTCAGTGAAAGACACAACTCAGTTAAACACCTAGAATTTCCTTTCAGTCTTTCAAGATCTTTCCTCTTTATGCCCTTTCATCTCCATCGCCATTCAGTGTACACACTGTTGATTTCGACCCCAGTTTGAGCCAGCAGGACTCTGCGTGTAGCAGCTCAGTCACAGAGCTGCCCATGCACAGCTGAGGTCCTGGGGTGGGGGGAGGATAAAGCCATGCTCATGGACAAGTTTCAGGGTCTAGCCTTTTCCAGAAACCAAGGAAACCTAGAAAACAGTACAATCAAGGAAAAGCATGAAGATGCTTTGGAAGAGATGCACAAGCAACTCTTGCTTCAGGTCCCCTCAGACAAAAAGGGAGTGTCTCACCTGCTCAGCTACTAGTTGAAATGTATGCACAGAGGCCATCTTTATCAGGAGCTTTTATTTGACTATCCCAGAATACTTAGCTCATGATGTCATGACATGATCAGATACTTGTGAATTTTAACCATACCCTCATAATTAGTATGCTTCCACACCCACTGAATACTCGGGGCTCTTTAAAAAATAAAGTGTTGAGCTGGGTATGGTGGTGCACACTTTCGATCCCAGCACTCAGGAGGCCAAGGCAGGTGTGAGACGGTGGTCAGCCTAGTTAAGGTCCAGGCCAACTGGGGCTACAAGGAGACCTTGTCTCAAAAAACCCAAACGAACAAACAAACAAACAAATAAATAAATAAAGTGATAGTATTTGGGGTTATTTAAATATTGTAAAATGTAGTAAAATAGATATTTTTCTAGAACTTCACTTATTCCTTAAGAGGTAGGAAATCAAGAACTAGAAATATAGTTCATGAAACCCCAATTTTAGGAAATCCCAGTTTGGAGTTGCATTTCTAGCCCTGGAAACTCTCTCCTGGATGCCACGCAGACAGCATTCTTTAGGGGCACAGAAGGGCCAGCATCTCCTCATGGTGAGATTGCCACGTCACCTTGCCCATTTTGTTACTCTTTGGGCCTGATATTTGTACACAGCGAGCTGTTCTGAGGACCTCATTTCTGGTTTTGCTGAACCATGCTAAGGGGTCAGCATGCATCTCACACCTGTGACAGAAGTCTGGGAGTTGCTAATGCAGTCATCGGCAATATTCTTCACCTTGGTCATGTAATAACTTAGATGTGACTGACTTGCAACCACAGAAAACCTAACCTGGTGCCCAGAAGTTTTGTAGTCTACGATGCCAGTGTTTTTAATAGCATATCTATCAAATGTGGAGGTTTTTTGTTCTATTCCTTTCTTAATAGATGAAGGGGGAAACACAAGTTAGTTAAATAGAATTTTAGAATTCTGGCATGAGGTGAGAGCTGCTACGAAAATGAGAATTAGGCATGGGTCCCGTTATGTTCTGGCCTTAAAGAAAGGCCCAGTGAAACAAAAATAAAATAGACTTTAAAATGAAATTCTCATTGCACTGCTCAGTACCAGAGATACAAGAGGGACTCGAAAAGACAAGAGCCCTCTTCTCGTGAAACTTACAGCCGTTTGTGCTTGTGTATGTAAATGTACAATAAAGATAGAAACTAAAGAGCACGATAATTTCATATACAAGTGATGTGATTGAAAGAGGCTTTCCTTATAGGGTTCTTCAGATTGTGCAGTTGAGGAAAGCCTTTCCTAGAAGACTGAATTTGGTCTGAAATTCAAAGAGTGAAAAAATGGGCAGAAATATGATTATATGTATTAGAGGGACTGATGGGAGGCAGTATGCAACAGCATGTGTTAAGGTCCTGAGGCCAGAGCCAGCCTAGCAGTTGTTGAACAGCACAGACGCAAAGAAGGGTGAAACTTAGAATGGTGGTACGGCCAGATGATTTGTGCTCTGCAGGGAATTGAATCGGGATGCTACTCTAAGCAGTGGCTTTTAAACAGGTGAGCAATAGGATCTGGTTGAGTTTTAATAGATTGCAGTGGCTGCTGTATAGAGAAGCAGATACAAGGAGTTTAGGAGAGGAGATTAGAAAGCTAGAAGCATGGATTTAGGAACGGCAAGAGGTGCTGCTGACTGGGCTGATTCATAGTGGATGAATACGGGATGCATTCCAGAGCAGAGCAGACAGGGCTGCTTGGACTGGAAAAATAATGGAGGAGAAGTTTAAGGGAGACATCTCATTTTTTAGTTTAAATTCCTGGGCAGGCAGTTTGCCATGACATCTCTTGAGACATCAAGTACTACGGAGGGAAGTGTGTAGGTATCAAACATGTAGTACTGATTGTTGTTGAGTTTCAAGTGCCTGATGGGAGTTGAGTAAAGGGAAGACATTAGGTTTGGGAAGAGGGTGACACATAAAACCCAGCCTTGCAGGGTCAATGGTGGGGCCTTTCTGTGGGACCTAGGACCCATGGAGAAGGGACTATAACCGTATATTGAGGATCACAGTCAACCCACAGAGACTACCAGGATTCTGGGAAGTAGATTTCCTGGGCTCCCCAAAATTGATATGGAGGAGAAAACAGAAGACATCTAGCCACAAACCCAATACACAATGCCATGAAAGCAGTAGAAGACACCAGCCTTGAGCTCAGCAGAAACATCAGGCTGGACACATAACTTAGTACCTAACGAAACATGCTGTGTCAGAATGGGGTGAACTTAGTCATGCTTCCTTCAAACTTCACTTTATTAGTCCCTGTATATGGATTTAAGGGAGCATTGAGAAAAATGAGAAACACAGTATTTTAATTAGGGACATATGAGAGAGCTACATAGACTATAGAGTACTAAAAAAGTCTGTTAAACAGAAGCAGGATGGTTCAAGCCACCCTGTCTCCTCAAAAATGAGGTTGTACTGCATTTCATTTAGTTCTCCTTTGAGGACTAAGATGCAAAGTGATGTGACACCTGTCAGTCTATGAAAGTTTAAACCAGAGTCTCTTGGACTTCTCTCATGGGGAGTTTTTAAATTTAAGAAAAGTGCTTGCATGTAATTTAGCATTTGTTTGAATCATTAATAATACTACAAGAAATGTTTGAGCTTAAGCTTTAAGTTTAAGGCTATGTAGGTTGGAGAATCAATATTCCTTGACAAAATTTAGATCAGTCATGATGACAGATGGATCTGCAGTTCTGATGGTGACAGAGAGATATGTAGTTATGGCTCTGTGTGTGTGTGTGTGTGTGTGTGTGTGTGTGTGTGTGTGTGTGTTCACTAAGAACACAATCTTTAAACTTAACACAGTTCTGAACATTATTGGCAAATATTTAAATAAGATTCATTAAATCTTTGTACTTCCAGAAGGGTTAGAGCCTAAAGGCCTCTCTCCACCCCACAAGAAGAGCAAAGCTAAGAAACCAGAAAGTTCAAAAGACTCTAGTGAAGGTAAGTCCTATACTTCTTGCTTCCTTTAAGAAATTATGCCATGAAGATAACTTTTTTAAATTTGTAAGCTGTGTCTATACTTTCACATTTAGATATTCTTAAGGGTTAAAAAAATTACAGAGACTGGGTGTAGTGGTACATACCTTTAATCCAAGTACTTAGGGGGCAGAGGTAGGTGGATTTCTGTGAGATCAAGTACATCCTGGTCTACATAGTGAGTTTCATGGCAGCTGGAGCTACAGGAAGATCCTGTCTCCCCCCGCCCCCCGCAAAAAAAAAGTCACAGAAATTCTGTACTTTCTTGGTATGTTAAGTATCTTTTGTGAATATAAGAAATCAGATATTTTGTTGTTAAAGAAAAAGCATCCAAGTTAAAATAATCTCAACATAATATATTTTATACTTCTGCAAGGTGAAAATTTGTGAGTTGTACTTCTAAGTAGGGTGTTCTCAAACTATGTAGAGAGAAGGTCAGGTGCTGTTGGTGATAACAGGTCTGTGTCTACTTCTTTTTGAGACCATTTGTTTCTCTCATGAACATATTTTTGGCGTTTCCAGAATCAAACCATAGCAATGGATGCTGAGAACATCTCCTTTCCTTAATGTTCTCTTCTGTTTTCTAGAAGCTGGAGTATCTTTGCCTTGTACAATGAATGGGCAGATCCAGATGGACTTAGGTTAATGCCGTCTTTCTTTTATAGCACTAGTACAGTTTACAAATCATGCACATTTCCTTTAAAAGGTGGATGGAGTGTGTTCTGAGTGCCTCAGCTACTGAAAGGCAGAATATACACACCTCCCACTTTCTTGCTTGGAACTCCACACCGCTCACTGAAATGAAGTCTGATAATAATGGTGCTGTTGGTTTGGGAAAGAACATAATATGGAAGGAGGACTGTAAGATATGTATAGAAAGAAAGGCTGTGAAGGATAAAAGGGAGGGGAAGCAGGAATGGGTAAAAGCAGAGAAGGGAGGAAGGGACAAAAGACAGGAAGGGCTCCATGTGCAGTACAGCCTGCACTGGGGAGGCCCTGGGCATGGGCTGACATCACAGGCCTGTGCTGAGTAGGAATGGCTGGGCTCTAATGTCCTCCTTGCTCAGTAACCGGCTGCAAACACTCTGTGGAGACAGTGGCCATGGAATATCTAAATGTTCCAGGGGATTCCTTAGCGTGGCCGCTGGATGTCGTGAACTAACTTCTCTTCTAACATCAGGTTCTTGCTTGAAAAGACAACTTGAAAAGCATATTTCCTTGACTGTCCAGCAAGCCCATAAATGTTGGCCCCCTAATAAGCAATGACACTGATCCCACCCTTATGCATATTAGAACCAGCTGACAAGGCCCAGCCGTAAGGAGGTGGGATTAGGACACTGGGTTCAAAACAGAACATTGCTCAATCTGCCCCACGCTGGCTTCCTCACTCTATGTTTCACTTCTGAATATGAAGCCCGGAACCTCTACTCTTTCATGCACAAGTTCACATGTTGTCTGCTACCTGGAAAGAGGTCACTAGGGTGAGCTCACCATATACAGAGCAGAGTAGGCCTGATCTGATCATCTCTGTAGGCAGGAGGGTCTGAGAGCCATGTGAGCTGGGGCTCTCTTTTCTCCCAGGCTCATTATAAGGGACAAGGTATATAGGGCCTGACAGTGGATGTTCCCTCCCTTCCATGTAAGGAGCAGAGAACGAGCATTTCCTACACATGATAAAGAATAGAAAGAGGGTATCAGAAGGGGTTTGCAGAGGTCTGGCATTCTGTTAGTGATGACGATGTCCTATGACTATCACAATCAGGACTATGATAAAGTACACACTGTCCTCATCACTGAATTGTGCTTAGAAGATTAGAACAATTTGCAAGAGAACACAAAACCATGACGAAGACCAGAATCTCTGCTTGGTCCCAGCTGGTGAGCTTTGTTAGTGTCTGATGAGGCAAGCAGTCAGCACATCCATCTCACTGTAATGAAGTCACTTCCTGGACAATCACTGAAGGCCATACTTGGGAAAAGTTAAGTGAAAAAAATCACAAGTGCTTTTCCCTGGAGAGCATGCACCTCACAGGATGCCTACCATCCAAGATATGACCTACAGTGAAGGTGGTTTTCCAAAGCCTGAGTCTGTTGGTATTATAAAGTGGGTAATAAATTACCGCCGTTCTATGACTGTCTCACTTCTTCAACTTACTCTTGAAAGTTTCTCTGATTAAGTTGCTTTGCTCAAAAGCATCCTTCACTAACCCTAATGTGACTCAGTGGTATGGCTTTACCCCTCCAAATACCTGATCTAAGAATGGCTCTGAGTCATCCCATTTCGGAGGTAAATGTGATAACTTGATTTGTTTCCAGGGACATTCTGACGGTAACATCGTGGTGAGACGTAAATGTTACTCACTCTAGAAACATGGGAATTATGCTTTGGTCCTATGACAGCTCCAATGGAAAATAAAAAGTAGTGATTCTTAGGGAAGGAATGAGAAAGGCCTGCAGTCTGACAGGGAGTAGGCCATGGTTCTAGATATGGTGCTCAGTGATCAGTGCTTCTGTTCTGACAGTAACTCCTATTCCTGAATTCATGTATTGTCCTGTTCATAGTATTCATTCCTCATTACAATTCAGGGAGGTACAGTCACTTTCCTACTGGGCATGCAAGTAGATTGAACCCCTGGGTAGAGGGGCACATTGTAATGTAGATCATGACCCTTCTTTTTGGAATGTTCCCTCATTTAAGAGATCTCAATTTTTCCTAGCTATTCTCCCGCCCCCCTCTGAAATTTCTGTTTGTTTTTTTTTCTTGGTCTTTTTGAGACAGGGTATCCCTGTAGCCCCAGCTGTCCTGAACGCACTATGTAGACCAGGCTGGCCTTGAACTCACAGAGATCTGCCTGCCTCTGCCTCCCGAGTGCTGGGATTAAAGGCATGAGCCACCACGCCTGGCAATTTCTGGTATTTTTATTTAGGCGTCTCTCTGCTTAACACCCCTGTGACTTAGCCCCATCTCATTTCTCTCTTCTTTAGAGTCCCCTGCTGAGACTCTGCCCTTACAGACGCTACCCATGGTCTCAGTTTACTTTAAAACACACATCTTCAGAAAGATCATAAGAAACAAACTCTCCTGAATTTTCCAGTGTATAAAATCATAAAGACTGTATTTGGATTTAGGAAACATATGGACAAATTTTCTCATTCTACATTTTTTTTATAAGTATATGTTGCAAATGGTTCTTTAACATGCCCAAATCCATGCAATCTGTTAATCTGTTAATCTGTTAATCATAAACTCTTTTTTTTTTTCTAGAAATGACACAGCATGTACAATAGTGAGTCCCTTCTGACTTATAGAAGTTAGAACTAGGCTTTATTGTAAAGATCTTTTAAAAATTATTTTTAAGTATGTGCACTTGCATGTGTCTTTACCCATGGTGGCCAGAAGGGTTGACTCTCCTTTGAACTGGAGTTATAGGCAACTGTGAGCCTCCTGATATGGGCCCTGAAAGTTCCATGAACAAAGCTGAGCTCTCTCCAGTCCAGGACTAGTTTTTTGTTTTGTTTCGTTTTTTGTTTTGTTTTATTTTTGTTATTTTTGTTTTTGTTGTTGTTGTTTTGAGGAGGAAATGTTAACAGCACCAAGTTTTAATTGAAGCATTATTACTTCAGCAAATATTTTACTAGAATATTAGGCATCAAAAAATAAAGCAATTTCTAAATATACTTTTATACTTGCATTTTTGGATATAGAGGGGTTTTTATAATTATTTTGATTGAAATCTCAAAAGCAAGTATACTTTGACTTGATACATTGCAATACCATGCCAATAATAACATTATTGGTAGTTTCAGACCATTAATTGAATTTCTTGCATGTGAAATGCTCTCCATGAGCCAACACACCATAGTAAAAAAAATGTTTGAAAGAAAAGTATGGTTAATACCAACTACGTTAATTCCAACTCATATTTTTCTTCCAAAATGAATGAAAGAATGTCATTATAGAAACGTCAATGGAATGTGCACCTCCCCTCAGTCCTCCCGCAGTCCTTCTGAAGTAAATCTGTAAATTCTCTTGTCTAAAAAAATGTTAGTTTGATGTTTTTATTCTAAAGTCAGTATTTCTGAATAGAAACGTTGAGAGTGGTGGTTACTCATGATAGCTCAAAGATATTTTCCTCAAATTGTATCAATTCTATAGCTGCTGAGAAGTAACTTGAGATCTAATTATTGCTTCTCATTAGTGCCTTTTCTTTCTGGCTGCTTTCACAATGTTCTCTTTATCATTTGTCTTTCAGACTTTAAGTATGATATGGTCAGGCACAGATTTATCTTTATTCATTTTTAGTATTTGCTATATTTCTTCATTCTAGGAACAAGCATCTTTTGTTAGTTCTAAAACCCCTTGCCTTACCAGATGTCACTCCTTTACTGCTTCCTATGACCCTCAATCTTTCATGACTTCTAATCCCTGACGCCCCCGACTCCCCTGTTTCCCATGTCGCTTCTTTCTCCCATGGCTTCTGGTTAAATTTTCAGGTCTGTTCAGTTTTCTAATAATTTTCTATCCAGCTCTACTTAATCTGCTGTCTATCTCTTCACTTAATTTCTCATTTTGGTCACTATAGTTTTTTTTTCTATTTTATTTGTAAATGCACCTTATTTAGTTCAGTGAGCAGATAAAATATCTCTTTTCTTCATCTGTATCTGGGACGTCACTGCAGTCTGGGCATGTCTGTCTCTGCGGGTTTTGCTTCTGCAAAGTCATACTTAGATTTGTTCTTGTGCTTTCTCCTTGTCATGTTTCTTAGACCTTCTTTCGTGGGAACTTTTGAAGTCGGTTTATGAGCTCATTTATTTACACCTGGCTTTCTGAAGCACATGAAGCTCCTACCAGTTTAGGAAGACCTTAAGTACAGTTTTGTTTTCTTTACTAAAGATTATTAAACCCATGTTAGTGGATGTATCTGCTTGGGAAATCTCAACAGAGACTTTTTCCCCTCTCCAGT